GTCGATAGAAGTAAGAGCTAAAACTGAACTTTTCCCAAATACTCCAGATAGTGGAACATGCAGCATCATTACAGAGGATAAAGAAAATGACAGTTCTGTGCTGAATGTGATACCAACAACTCCGAGGCTGAGTTTTTCTAATTCTTCAGATTCTGGATACATTACATTATTAACACCTTTCTTCCAAAACCAAGTTTCCAGAGTTATAGTACAACCCCTAGCACCATAGCAGACATCAACAAAAGTACAGTGCAAAGTAAATGGTAAGTTCAATTCTTTAATATTACAGTTTTGCATCTATGATATATCCCTCTTAAGAAAAGGGGACTGTCCGGCCCCTCAAACTTTAAACCCTTGAATTTCCTGTTCATTTTGGGGCCCTTTTAATCAATGTTTAAAAGTCACCAATATGTGTTAATATATGAAAGTTTCGAGTCTTATTCCGTCAGTACAAGTGTTATTCGGATAATAATGGTGTAATTCAGTCATTCCTGTTACCCTTTATACAATGTAGCTTGCTGTTCGGTGTGAGCAATTTTTTTTAAGGCTCCTTGTTGAAGACGGTACTTATAATTGCTAACTTTTAATACATTGCGTCTTGGATGGAGAGTTGTGTCATTGTCACTCATACCACATCTCATTATTTATGTTATTTGTACCTAATATAGAAAATATTTGTTTATATACATGTACTAACTGCATGATCTGTCATGTCTGAATCATGTGTGTAAATGTACAGTGTACATGTATCTGAATATTTTAAATTGATATTTTACCTTATTATTTATATGTATTTTTTTTATTTAAATTACAGTATAACGTCAACTCCAAAACCAGAAAACAGAGGTTCAGAATTAAAATTAAGCAAAAAACATGAGTTGCCACTTCAAGAGCACAACTATGCAAGCAGTGCTAGAGAGAAATTCAACAGAAAGAAAGCATGTTCCAGAAAGAAAAAAAAACCTTTTGAATCATCATTGAAAACAACAGAAAATAACGATTTACACAAGAAATTATTGAACAACCAGAAATTTGTGACATTTTGTCTTCTGAGGAATTCTCAACTGTTATTTCTGTTTTGCCAACAAGATCACGGAAAACTTTGGTTAACACCATATTACAATTTGCTGAAATTAAAACTCTTGTGAAAGAAGAACTGTTTTCGGAGTTATCAAAAGAACACAAAATTTTGAAAAACAGAAAGCATGGAAAAATAAGCACATTTAATGACAAAGGATTTTGAAGACTTAAAACAGTTTACTTGGGACAGTATTGTAAATGAGGCAGTGACAGAATTCCCTCTTCTTGTTGATGTTTTGCTGGCATTTTTAGTCCCTGACAGTTTGGAACAAAAGACTAAAGTAGAACGAGTTGCATCTCTAACTCAAAGAATTGGATTTTTGTATTCCGTTCTTGCACAGGGCAGAAATCATGAACTGAGTAAGGTGCAGAGAGTTATAAGCATCAACCTGTTTGACAACCTGTGTGATCAAAAGGTAATTTATTTGCTATATATAGCTTGTTGATTTTAATTGAATGGTTAAAAAAAATGTTTGTTTAACAACTCAGTGACTTACATGTACCAAATTCATGTATATATATGCGCAAATGACATGTTCAAGTACATTGTACATGTACATACAATGTACATTAACATGCAGCTGACATACACATGTACATGTATATAATGTGTGAAACAGTGTGATGACTAATCTATTTCAGTAACACACATACATGTATATCAATCTGACACGAAATCAAAATTCAATAATATTCAAACAAATTGAGTTCTGAAATTTTGAAATACAATTTCTTTCTATTGTCAGATCAAAATTGTATGTACATGTAATTTGGACATTAGGTTGGGTAAAAAGCGGATAAAAAAACATTTTTTTTTCAGTTTTTTTTATACCTGATACAATGTATGTGAACCTGCTTGAAAATTTAACCCATTGCCTTTTGAAATGTTTTAACTCACCAAATTAATAATTTTTATCAGAGGATTACATTCATACATGTATATGTACATGTATATGTATACATGTATGCTCAACAGTAAGTACTTGTCATGACAGAAAACTAGAATTATCATTTTAAAAATGTACATTGTACCTACGTACAAATATATGATGAAGAAAATTAGATGGAAAAAGCTCAGTTTAAAAAAAAAAAATGCAAAATTCATATAAATAATATTTTCTTCCTCCCCTTTGGTAAAATGTTTGGATAATAATATTCGTGAGTACCTGTAAAAGAAGCAAAATTTCTAATACTACATAATTTTAAACAAGGTTTATAGTTATCATGGTTATGTTATCTAACAGTTTATCTGTTAAGTAATTTATTCATATTTGACATATATATATTTAAAACAAATATCATGCTCCTACACATGTAGCTTGATTCAGGTAACGTTAATTAAAAAACAGCATGAGATCACACCTGGTTTTTGTATGTCTGTCCTTGGCTTAAGACTGTCATGACTGACACAATGTCTCTAAAAGTTATCAATCTCAGTATGTACATGTACATTACATGTACATGTATGTAATGGTAATATTAAAACATAATAAGATGTGGTATATGATTGCCAATGCAACAACATTCCTTCAATGACCTAAAGTAGTAAATATACAGTCATAAATTGTGGTTTGGCATTTCCAGGACCAAATTCATTTATCTCCACATTTTTCTCAAGATTGTATTACAAAATTCAAAAAAATCAACAAGACAGAAAAGATTTTCACAGGCTAGAGGCTGGCAGTCTTGTGCTAAATTCGAAGACTTAATATAAAAGCTAACGCAATTACAGGTCAAGCTATGAAAGGCTCTATTAAAAATGACTAGTGTAAAAATGATATCATATATAAAACTGTAAATTCAGAAATAATCAAGTTTCCTGATAAGAAATTAAATATTGCAATGCAGAATAAAAGGTCAAACTTGAAAGCATTTGGGGCCAGCTGAAGGACGCCTCCCGGTGCGGGAGTTTCTCGCTGCATTGAAGACCCATTGGTGGCCTTCAGCTGTTGTCTGCTCTATTGTCGGGTTGTTGTCTCTTTGACACATTCCCCATTTCCATTCTCAATTTTATACATACATGTATATTTGTTTTCCTTTCATGAACAATGTTGTACAGGTTGTATCTGACTTTTGAGAGTTCATTAAAGTTTGCCAATATTTGTTTGCTTGCACAAATATGTGGAAAGCAGATAACACACAACACAAGCACAAGATTATTTGGTTTGAGCCATCGTGCTTACACATTTTTAATATTTTTTTCCGTTGATTTGCACATTAACCATTGTTAACAGCATTGCATGTAACATTCTCCAGTATGCTGACTATTTTTCAGGGACTGAATGCATGTATGAAAATTGAAGTTTTATTCATTCAAGCATGAATCAAAGAAATGAAACAGCAGTGAAGAAGTATGTATTTCTGTAAATTGAATGCATTAAAATATTATTTAAGCAATAATTCAAGGTCATGTAGCCATAATTTTTAGGTATATTGTACATAATAGGAGGCATTTTTATGCTGTTTTTTTTAAATAAATTAAACTTAAGCTGGCAACCATGAATTATATTTTTATTCTGATAGGACAATAAATGTCAAAGGTAATTTGAGTATGTCAATTATTTTTAACTGAAGCTTTACAAACAAAGCATTTGAATGACTACATACATGTAATGTACATAGTGGAATTAAATGACATTTGTTTTAATGTGGAATGGGTGAACACAAGATTTCTACACTGTAATACAGAAGTAGGTTAAACCGTTATGGAAAATAAGAATAGAGGTGCAACGTACATGACATACAAAGAAACGGTTAAATTGCATTGATATTAAGAGTAAGAACACTCTGAATAAGTTAAAATAAGTTTATATGAAAAAATATTTTCAAATAAAAAATAGTAGACACAAAAAATAAAAAAGGGGGAGGTCCACTCCACAAGCGCCTGTGGTTAAAACAGCCTATTCACCTGTGCAAATAGAATGAATATAAAAAATGTTGTCAAGTTGTTTTCATTGGTACAAAATCATTTTTAACAAGTGAATTTCTCATCAACAGGTATTTGACAGATTGCAACCTATAGGTGTCTGTTTGAGCTATGGTCATGGTTTGACCATATTGGACAAATTTTCTGGAAATTTCAACTCCGCTGTCATTGATGCTCTGAAAGATGAGAAAAGGATTCGCTTGGTAGGAGACAACATTAATTGGAAGACAAATGTTCACGACGAGAGACAAGACAACCATGGTAAAATGCATCATGCTTTTGGATCCGCTGTGATTGTTCAGACCCTATCTTTTGACAATATAAGCAGAATTAAACCTCAAAAACTTTTCTATGAAGTAGACCATCAGCTTTTCCTTCCTTCGTCGGAAGAATGGAAGCATATCAAGGAGGAATATGCCATACATATGCTTCATGTTGCCTTCAAACATATTCCTTACTTTAAGATTTTTGAAAAATTAATTATAAAACAGATTGTTGGTCAATATAGTGAGCAATTGAAGAAGAAAAACAAGGTTGTTCCTTTACCCGTGCTCCATTTGAATGAACAGAAATGTGATGATGTTGTTCAGATTATGGACTATTATGAAAATTTCCTAAGTGACACTTATGAAAAAGCTGGATTGGACTTTAACAACAATACGCACGTTCATTGTGGGGGTGACCAGTTGACGCGTGAACGGTATTCTGGAGCAAAGAGATTAAGATCAGGAGCTGCCACACCATCCAATAGATTCGAACATTTATCTCCAATAACTTTCGAATTGTTTCACATGCAAATGAACTATGTAAAATTGATGTTCAAACGTTTGTATAGTGAAGAAGGACTGCAGGAACAAGGCACCCTAAAATGTGAAGCAAATAGGGTTCTAAGAACGAGTTTGAACCCAAATGTTAATGAGCATTTTGATGCAGATAAGGACTTTATTGTGTCATTCACAGATGCATATATTGTTGAGGCCATTACCCATTTTTTTTTATATGGAAAGTGTGTTTTCTGCACCAAGAAAAAATGTATTACCTGACAATGTTTGTACAGAGGACCAAAAGAAGGAATGGGTGATGGATATGTTCCAAAAAATTGTTGAAATCTATGTGTGGGATAAAGAGAACAAACAAAACCAAGAGGATAATGTTGAAGGTATGTTAAATCATTAATATACATAAAAAGTTTACAGAAATCGAGAAATGGAGTTTGTTTCCTTACTTCCTAATTTGAGCATTTAAGGTTTTATTTGAAGTCTTGAAATCAGTGGTGCATTATACATTTTGTAGCTTCTTATAGTGAAATTCTGATATAATTTTAATATTTAATTGATCAGTAAACAAAATGGGCAAAAGGTTAACATGGTTAATACAGAAACAAATATTTTGAGAAATTAAAAAAAAATAATTGAATGTTGAATAAAAACAATATTCTGAATAGGAATTATGATTTATTAAAATCAATTTATCATGTTTATTCTCATTCAATTACAATTTTGTGAAGATAATAAAAACTCAAAATAGGAAGAGAAAAAAAAATCAATGTAAATTGATTATTTTACACTTTTTATAATTTGGATAAATGTTTAACATTGTGTATATGATTGTTATAAATCTAATATGAGAATTTGTGTCAAATAGGTGAACATGCCCCTTTAATAAATTTCAAATGTATTTTACAAATAATTTTATCGTTTCAGTTGATGGTGTTGTCATTCCAATTCAACTAAGTAATGGAAAGAGACGGTCCTATGTAATTAAAAAGGCACAGAAATCACAAACACCACAAGAAGACAAAGTGAAAAATTATGGACATTTATGTCTTGAACTTGGGTTACAGTTCAAGGCAATACTGGATCTTTGCAAACTGCCAGATAGGGATCGTGGTCTACGACTATTGAAAGTTTGCATGATACATTTCAAGGCAAACAACAACTTGTCCAAGTATGCCTATGAAATTTTAAGATTATTGGTTCATCAGTTGTGCATATTGTCAGAGCAGGAGGCACATGAAGAGTTTTATGGACTCTTCGTGAACACTAAAGGGAAAATAGACAGCCATATACCATTTGATTTACAAATGGAATACATTGTGAAGTCCGTAAAACGTAACATTAAACACATGTTTTCAAATAAGACCGATAAAAACATAACGACAAGAACAAGTGCTCTTCCAGCAATAAAGGATATAGCTGAAAATTTTGACAAAACTTCAGGAGTAATCATCCGTTGTAAAAAACATTCCAGCATTGATGTCATCAAGGATGAATTGGACATAATATTCGACCTGCAAAATGTAAATCCTTTCACTTTTACAGCAGGCAGATCTCATGACTCATTTAAAACAATATCTAGTAGAATGGACAAGCTCTTGGATGTGCATCATTTTCATTCTTGGATAGAAAGCAATGTATACAAACATGCTACTGAACTCGGAAATTAATTCTCTACTCATCATGCTAACTTTAACATTTTTATACGACTGCAAAATCGTATATTGGTATGACGTTGGCGTCGTCGTCCGAAGACACATTGGTTTTCGCACTCTAACTTTAGTTTAAGTGAATGGATCTCTATGAAATTTTACCATAAGGTTCAATACTACAAAAGGAAGGTGGGGATTGATTTTGGGGGTTATGGTACCAACAGTTAAGGAATTAGGGGCCAAAAATAAGCATTTTTGTAACTTCCAGACATAACTTGTGTGTTAGTGTATGGATCTCTCTGACATTGTACCACAAGGTTCCATGTCACAAAGGGAATGCTGGGATTGATTTTGGGGGTAATTGCCTCCAAATTTTAGGAATTAGGGGTCAAAAAGAGGCAAAAAACAAGCATTTTTCTAGTTTCATGACAATAACTTGTGTGTAAGTGTATGGATCTCTCTGACATTGTACCACAAGGTTCCATATCACAAAGGGAATGCTGGGATTGATTTTGGGGGTAATTGCCTCCAAATTTTAGAAATTAGGGGCCAAAAAGGGGCAAAAAACAAGCATTTTTCTAGTCTCATGTCAATAACTTGTGTGTAAGTGTATGGATCTTTATGAAATTTTACTACAAGGTTCCATATCACAAAGGGAAAGCTGGAATTGAGTTTGGGGTAATTGCCCAAAACGTTTAGGAATAAGGGGCCAAAAATAAGCATTTTTCTAGTTTCCAGACAATAACTTGTGTTCAAGTGTATGGATCTCTCTGAAATTGTACTGCAAGGTGCCATACCACAAAGGGAAGGCTGGGATTGATTTTGGGGGTAATTGCCTCAAAATGTTAGGAATTAGGGGCCATAAAGGGGCAAAAAAACAAGCACTTTTCTAGTTTTAGGACAATAACTTATGTGTAAGTGTATGGATCTTTATGAAATTGTACTGCAAGGTTCCATATCACAAAGAAAAAGATGGGTTTGAGTTTGGGGGTAATTGCCCTAAACGTTGAGGAATTTGGGGCCAAAAAGGGGCCAAAAAACAAGCATTTTTCTAGTTTCCAGACAATAACTTGTGTTCAAGTGTACAAATGTATGGATCTCTCTGAAATTGTACTGCAAGGTACCATACCACAAAGGGAAGGCTGGGATTGAGTTTGGGGGTGATGAATCATAAGGGGGTTCAAAAAATTTGGGGGAGGGGGGGGGGGGGGTGGTTTCCTTTTTTTTTTCTTTAAAATTTTCCATTTTAAATTGGTTATTTCTGATTTATATATAAAAGCAAATAATAATGATATGGTTTGAATAGGTAAATTAAAAAATTTTAAGTTCTTAGACCACATTCATTCTGTATCAGAAACCTATGCTGTGTCATTCCTCAGTGTGGTGTTTGGGGGCATGTTTCCGCACTGCAGCTATATATATATATGCTTTACTTTCAATTACAATTCAAATATTCTTTTTGGCTCCTATAGTTGTATGGAATAAAGATCAAGACATCGCGGCATCACTTTCAAAGTCTTAATACATGCATTTTACATTGTATGACACAAGATTCATAAGAATAAACTTAAGTCACATTGATAGCATTCGGTTGACTTTGTATATTTTGGTTAGGTTGATGTCTCTTTGACACATTCCCCAGTTCCATTCTTTATACTATGACTTGACATTTCTTTATTAAATGCAGAAAAAATACTTTTGATCACCTTAATGGTTTTTTTTCCCCAGCATTAGTGCATGAATTAAAAAAGTACAAATCAAATTGGTTAAGCCTAAAACCATAGCTATACAACTGCTGGTCTGCAAAAATACAATAATAAATAATGATGATTAATTAAGATTTTAATAATATGAATTGTTTAGCACAATACTTTGAACAATGATTGAAATTTTCTGCAATTTCTGGACCAATTTTAGGATATTGTTCTAGTATAATGGTACCAGAAAGGTAGGCTTGATAGTTCTCAGATATCAAATTTGCAAGCTCTTTGGTGAGACCTGTATAAATTGCTGCATTTGGCATGTTAAGACATTCGTTTTCTGATTCAAAATAGTCGATAACAGTTGCTAATACTGAACTTTTTAAACTAACATCAGTAGCAGATTGTGGCACATCAATGATATTGTCTGTTTGTTCCATTTCACTTGGAATTTCACTTTTTTTTTCAGAACACTGATTACATGTGCATTCCATTTCACATAAATCACAACATTCATGCTTGAAATTCATTTCACTGAATTCACAACCAAAATGTTCACATAAATAGGCACGTCGACAAGTTTTTGAATTGCAATAATCTCTCATTCCATCTGTCATACCAGGAACAGCTTGTGAAATATCAGATTTGTTATAGTACAAAATAGCTGTTGATGATTTACCATCTCTTCCAGCTCTGCCTATTTCTTGTATGTATACTGAAATGAAAATAAATTAACATGTTAATTGTTATCTATCATTGTTTATGTTTGCATACATGTAAAAACACATGTATAACATACATGTACATATATATAGGTTAATCTAAATTAAGAACATTCCAAATTTTGAAACGTTAACAAGGGTTTTTACTGGTAGATTTTTGTATAAAACGATAAATTTATACAAAATTTGATAAATGGACATTCCAATACTGTATTACAGTATTTAACTTGTTTTTTTTTGTGTGTATAAATTGATGAATTTAATTGTACATATGTATAGACTTTGTATATATATATATATATATATGCATATTATTTATTGCTTTTTTTGTACCACTGAATTATGATGTTTTGAAATACATTCATGTATATATATTAGAAAACTATAATATGCAAGTAACTTGTCTGTTTGTTTTCATTTTTATCGTAAACTTGTCAAGTGTACAGGTCGAAAATGAGGCTTTTTTTTTGTTCGGTGTGATATCTGAAAGCATATAGTTAGAGGACAAAATCCAATTTTCAATGAAATTCATCTCGAGTGATCAGTGAAATTTTATATCTTATTATAGACTACTTAATTTGCAATTGTATTTGAAACATACTTTCTAGTGTTTTTGGAACTCCAGCATGAACAACCCTTCTAACATTTGGTGAATCTGTACCCATACTAAATGCTTCCGTTGCAAAAAGCAGTTTAAGGTCACTTCCAGGACTTGCCATGTCACTCAAAACTTTGCTCTTCATCTAGAAAATTGAAAAAATAGAAATATTTGAAAATTTATCATACTATAATAACACCAAAAAAATTATGGGTACATGTACATTGTCAGACCGATGCAATATACCTGTATTTACAATATAAAAACAAAAAAAAATAGTATGATTGCTGAAGTGACAACTCTTAATCTCAGACTAAATGAGTAACAGTACAGTAACATGTTTGTTGTAAATGATCTGGTTCAGTTTCAAAATTGTTGATGGTGTGGTACATCATATAGACAGGCTTGACAGAGCTGTCGTTCATTTTAAATCTCAATGTACATGGAACTATATATATATATATATATATATAGCTATATAGAATTATACTGTTACGGTTCAGCTTTGAAAGTAATTTTGATTTGTCATATTTGATTTAAAATCTCGTTTTAAAATTAATGGTGTGATACAGTGGATGACTGGACAGACCCAGCTGAACATACATGTACATGCATAAATGGAGCCTGGAAAAGAAATATATTTTTAGCAATTTAAATGTTTTATAATTTCTTATTTTGATGATATGGGACAGAAACCTTTAATTTCTTTTGAATTTGAATAGTTTCTTTAATGACACCAAAGAAAGTTATAAGACATTTACCTCTGATGTACATGGGCTGTGAAACTGGGCAACACATTTCTCAATATTGTCCTCTTTGTCTCCATTTTTCAATGGCCTGACCACTTCCTCATAACCATAGCCACACCAATTTATTTTCGAATAAACTATTGTCCTTTCAAAACTTGACTTGTCTGCCCGTAGTTCATCAACTAATGGTTGATAGATAAAATCATATGATTCCTGGACAGTGTTTTTTCCACCACATCCAGCTGGTCTTTTGACCAATGTCAATTTTATGTTTGGTCGGTCCATTGATGATTGGACAGTCAATGCGCTCTTCATTCCAAGCTGTTTTCTTATTTCATTTTGCATTTTGGTTGTAGCAGTTGCAGTCAAAGCCAACATTCTTGCATTTGGAAACATTGACCTCAGTTTTACAAGTTCAGTGAATTTTTCCCTGAATCCATGACCCCATTGAACTACACAGTGTGCTTCATCCACAACTATATGTGAGATTTTACTCTGCCATTTCTCTGACTTAAAAAGTCCAAACACGGCTTTATCAATAAATTGTTCTGGGTGACCCAAGATGTATGAAAAATTGCAACTTTTCAATTTTTCAATGTCAGCTTGAAAGTCCTCAGATAATACACCAGTTTTTAAGCAACGTACAATATCTGAGTTCAAATGTACAGCTTTATCTCCATAGCGTACTAACTGTTCCTCTATGATAGAATTCAGCGGAGAAATTACCAGAATAGATGAATTTCTGAAATACGGCAGTGTCTCAAATATTAATGATTTTCCATATCCTGTTGGTAGAACGGCTAATGTGTCCCGAATCAACGCTTCTCTGATACACAGAATCTGAGCTGGTTTCAAAATTCTAAATTCAGTGCCCCTTAATTTGTTAATGGTTGTCAAAACTAACTTTATTTCATTCACGAGTCTAATTTTCTTTTCAAAGTCCGCCATGTTTATCTAGGACGCTGCGTATCGGAATATCTCTAGAGTCACTGAAAAATCAATTGACCAATGCGATGGTCTAATCAGCCGATATCAATTTACCACTGACCCGTTGTTTGTGTCGAAGTATCAATCAGCGGGTGGCCAGTTAAAGTAATACAATAGGCTATTAATAAATGTCTTGGGACCAGTTAATTAGTTTATAATTTAAAAAAATATTTGGGCTGACTTTGAATTAGTCCCGGTTTACTTTTAATCAAAGCACGAGAAAATAAGAGTACCGATACGAAACACGGAAAATAATTAAGGGAAAATACGAAGCACGCACATCGAACCAAACACGAGAAAACGAAAAAAAAACAAAACGTCGAAACACGGAAACACGTGAAATAAAAAGGCCGAAAACGTTGCACGAAAATAACCCTTTACCACCCTCTAAATAGGCCATACTAGATGTCGACACCTCATATCAGAACTTAAGTAGATGGTCAATTTCGTTTGCAAGGTTAAAGAAATCTTCAACTTGCTATAATTTGCCTGTGAAGACCATAAAACCGTCATCCCTATTGACAGTGTAATTTGATGTTTTCTCTCCATTGGAACTTATCTAAGATTTTAATGAATAGGGCAGACATATGCAGATCTGTACATGTTGGTGACAATGGGAGCTCCTATAATGTGTTTGTATAACAGTCCATTAAACTCAAATTCATTGTTTCTAAGAATTAATTTAATAAATGCAGTTAAATCTATTTTGTTGTGAATCTTTAAAGTATATTCTCCTGTGTGTCAATAAATTCTAATGCGTTGATATCAGTTTATTTTTTTTTCTAAATTATCAATGATCATACTTGTGTACATTGACGTACATCATAGGCAATAAGAATGCATACTTTTTTTACCTCGTGTGACTCTATTTTATTAATGAAATTTTTTGTATCTTAAATGTAAAAGTTATGCCTCTTCAATAATTGGATGTTGGATGTGTACTAATTGATAATTTAGTCTTAGATGCATGATTTTTTTAATTAGTTGGTGGCTTTGAACTAGCTGTCAGTAACTGCGAGTACTCTCACATCTGTACTTAGTGTCTATTTGTTGTTGGGATATACAAGTACCCGGCCACGTCCACTCTGTGTAGTATTTCTGTTTGTATCCATCTGATGAGTTAAGCCTTTTTCAACTGATTTATATAGTTCGTTCTTATGTTGTACTGTTACACCACTGTCCCAGGTTAGGGGGAAGGTTGGGATCCCGCTAACTGGCATGTTAACCCCGCCACAATCTGTATGTATGTGCCTGTCCCAAATCAGGAACCTGTAATTCAGTGGTTGTCGTTTGTTGATGTGTTACATATTTGTTTTTCGTTCATTTTTTGTACATAAATTAGGCCGTTAGTTTTCTCGTTTGAATTGTTTTACATTTGTCATTTCGGGGCCTTTTATAGCTGACTATGCGGTATGGGCTTTGCTCATTGTTGAAGGCCGTACGGTGACCTATAGTTGTTTAAGTCTGTGTCATTTGGTCTCTTGTGGAGAGTTGTCTCATTGGCAATCATACCACATCTTCTTTATTATATTTATAATTAGATCAAGTAAGTATCTCTCGCGGGAGAGTTACACTTAATTATGATTGGTCGGTAACGAACATTAATGTGTCCTGCTAGCTGACCAGTTCCGCCAATGCCTCATTACTTATTTCTGATTAATTTTATGAATTTTTGGAAGAAGGTACATTTGTCCTCCATGTTTTGAATTATTATTATTCTTTAAGAAATTATACGTCTGGGAATCTTTTTTTTTCTCTCCTTGCTTTATATTTAACACTTCTCTCAACATGCCAAAACTGTAATGATTTACAATAAAAAGAAAATATTATTCTCCACACACATGGCCAAGATAACACTGATATATAATTTTTTATTCAGTTGAATTAATAAATAGAATAAAAAAGTTCTAAGGTTCACGTATTGTCTTCTTTTTTTTTAAAAGCAACTTGTTTTTACAAGATAAATGGCTTATGATGTGGAATTTTGTATGCACACATAAAGATGGCGCAGTCAGGATTCTACTTCGTCAAAATTGTCTCCCCATTACGCCACCTAATATTTATAATCGTAAAAATGGAAGCCATTGTAGTGATGACGCGCTGTCAATTTAGATCTTGAAAACCGATAAATTTATCCACATAGCATCATTACGATCCTTATATTCCAGTTGTATTTTAATAAACAAATGTATCTACTAGCTATTGAGCATCATTTAATGTACTTTTATGCATTTGGTCAACTTGAAACTATTGTCTGATCGGTTGTCAGTGGGAATTTTCGAAAGTTCAAAAATATTTAAAAAAATTCTAATTAAATATTTCGTGGAAGGGCAGACTAAAAATTTTCAGAGGTTGAAGACTAATTACCCTAGAAAGCACACACAGAAAATGAAGTTTTTTTGAAGTTATGCATTTTTAAGATCCAATTGAAAAGTCTGTTGTCAAGTACTTTTAGTAAAAATTTGTTATTCGAACACACCTACTCTGTTGTCATGACTCATTAGAAAGGTATTTTGACTTGACCCATATATTTCATTTTTCAGTACTGTAAATTTTTAATGTTATTATATCAACCTAGAGCCTAAATATATAAAAATAATAGAATCTGAATCGAGATGATGTATCAAATATTTTCTTTTATACGTTTTGAAGACAGAATAGTCAACTCAAACACGCCTGAACATAAAAAGGTGTTTTCGGTGAAATTATTGCCCATTTTGGGGATTTTTTCCCAAAAAACTATCGCCGGGGGCAGAGATGCCAATTAATGGTTTAAAAAGATCAATCTTTTATCTTTCTTTGCAATTTTTTTCGGTGGAATTTATGCTTATGCACAAAAAAGATCCACATGTATTTGCACCTACCACAATCGACTGTTTTTTGAAAATTTGTCTATAATTTAAAGTTTACAAATGTCTCGAAGCTCCATACCATAACTTAAGTAAAAACACATACATAAGACGCATAAAATCCTAAATTAGGCACATTCATTAAACTTTTAAAGCCCATAGAAACAGCAGATGTAAACAATTCAAATTTACCAACTTGGCCTGTTTTACCTTCTCTAATAAAGAGTTCCATTTCTTTTGTTTAATTTCAACTGGGTTTCCGCCTGGGCGGACGATGTTCTAGAATAATATTGAATCTGGCATCATTGAAAAATCACGTGACATTTTGAAAAAATTACTCGATTTACACCTATTTGTCTTACCAAATCTGGATATCCAGCATCTTCCATAGGGTTTGAGAATAACAAAAAATGTCTGGAATTCCAGCATCTTCCATAGGGGTGGGTGTGGGTCAACTATTTCTGGAATAGCCCATTGCACCCTTATAGGTCCAAGCAAATTTGTCAATCCAACATCATCATCCATAAATAGCTATAAGTCGACATGAAGCAACACATTGAAAATATGATCTTAACAAACCTGTTAAATACTTGGAAAAAAACATAGTGAAGGTATTTTGGTTAAAATACATATACACATGTATATGGTTGCATATAATTTTTGAATTGCTTTTTCCCATCATATTATGTATAAACTACATGTATTTTTAAAGTGCATATTGAGTGCTCCCAAGTCAGGAGTTATATGTATGTAACACTCAGAAACATGTATATCCCCCCAAACGTGTCCATATGTCAGACGTCAATGAACACTAAAACATGTCCTTTTTATGAACGCCCAAACGTAGCCAATCTCCCAAACGTTCTATATGAAGCCAAAACGTCTCCCTTTTATGACTGCCCAATCATGTCCAACGTTATTAAAATCACACGTTGTTTAAATATAAATCCAATCGATATTATTACAGGAACCTTCCTTTTGTTTTGTTGTAAAATTTGACCAGTAACTCTCTAAAAGCCCAGGAACCACTCTTGCAAGAAGCCGTCCGTGCAATACCCTGATACATAATAAAGAAATTAAGGCATCACTGCAGTATATTAGTACAAAGAATTTACTTTGTAAACAATGAATTTACCTGTACAAAACTAACTAATTGCAATCTTTATGTTTGCTCTAAATATGCATGAATATTTGCCACTGGACATTAAGCAATCAACAGTCTAGAGTTAATGTATGTGTTGCAAATTAAATTTGCAATTATGCTAAATACAAACAACCGACTTTGATCAAACAAATATTAATAAATGACCACTTAATCAACAGTTGAAGCACTGAGAAAACTTGCAAGGTAAAATGTATAAGATTTGTTAAATGTGAAATACCTTCAAATTATAACAATAATAATCATATTGATCAAAAATTAATAAAAGCTCTCAAGTAAAGATAATTATTTATTGTGATATTCCTTTTCTTATCTGGTGTCTATTTATTTGAGAGAAGAATTAAGTCAGTGATTTCATCTTTCACTGTGCATAGTTTACCACATCTTGGACTATACTGATCACAACACCTTTGCTTGGATAGCGGCTTTAATTTTTTTTTTAGAAATGACCGAAACCTGACGTCTTCAGTTGTGTCCCCCATCATTGAATGCCGTAAATGTTATTGCATTAATACTGAGGACATATTAGAGCTAAAAGTTTTTATAAAGTGGGCAAGTTTTTGGCGAATAACAATTGTAGGACACGTTCC